CAGATAATACTCACTAACACCCAACAAGCAATTCATTAAAATTAAACTTAATTTTCAAACTTTCTTATTTCAGATAAAACCTTGTGTGAATGTATGAATTTAAATAAATATGCTATTTAATATTCAAAAACTTGTTCTTTATTAACTGCTGGATTATTGGTTATGCTTTCATTGTTATTTTAATAATAAATTTTTGATAATAAAACAACTAGAACCAGCCAATGAGATGACAGCCTCATGACTAATTAAGGGGTTTAACCAATGAAATTGACTCGACACTTTTGAAAGGACCTCATTATAGCAGGTCCCCAGTGTATAAAGAAAATGGAAATCAAATTATAGTTTTACATATTCAAACACAAATGTTCTAAAAAAGAAATTATATCTGAATAAAAGACTAGTTTTTAAAACATGTCTGCAACACCCAAAAAATCAATAAGTGACCAGGGATAGGTCACAATTACAAAGGTGAATAACAACACTGACCAGTTTTCAATCAACTTATATCAGAAATTAAAACTGAAATGCAATTCATAAAATATTAGGAGAGTAACATGAAATAGTCATACATCTGATAAAATCCTAAAAATATACTAAGTTTGCTCATTTATTAAACTAGGTATTGTTTACTAACAAATCAAAATGATTAAGTTGTTGTAGGAAAACAAAATTCTTTTTCTGAAAGTCTCTTACACTAAGAGTTATCAAAATCTCGCATCAATATTGAAGAAAATGACATTTTTCTAATTGTCATACAAGTAACAAGTAATATCACAAATACTATTCTACAGGAAAAGTATTCAAAACTGAATATTTTATCAAGCAAAACCTAAAATAACTTGTGGTTATACAGTTTCTTCTTGTCTTCAGTAAACCAGTCAATAACTATCAAGTCTTACAAAGAAGTATCAGTAAAAACCTTTATAATTCCTCTTTAAGAAGAAAGAGAATAAACTTTTAAAATTTATTACACATTCTACATTCAAGATTTAGATTTTAATAAACAGTTTATTTTTTATTTATCTTGTACATACTTTAAACCTCTCAATACCTTTTAAGAAACATTTAATCCATTTTCTAATAGGGAGAAACTTATTAAAATAATTGTAACATAATACCTTTTCAATAATCAATCACCCATAACCACTTCATTAAAAAAAAAGAAAGAAATCCAAATGAAATGCTGGAAAGGAAGAATTCTTCTATGGTTTAATTAATACAAATCTTTAGTACCTACTATCATGACAGCCCAGATATAATTATAGTACTAATTCATTTTCACTTCAAGAAAATACAATACAAATTGAGAAATGAAACATGTATATCTGGTCTGTCTCTTTAAACTGCAGCGTGTTTTATTAAGATAATAAAATCAATAACACACTACTTAAAAAGGTTAAAGGAGTAGTTAAGGTGAAATGTCTTCATACTTAGTAGCTTTCAAAATTAGAAAATATACTTACAATAAAGAATACTTCAAACTACCATTAAACTATCTCAAGCTATTAATACTAAACCAAGTCATATCCACATTCTCTGCTGTAACAGAAGAATAAGAAGGTTTACGAATGGAATGGAATTCTAGGAACACATTACTGAATCATACCAATTTCTTTACATTTTTCAATGCATTACACATGATCTGTAAGTAATGCTCAATATTTTATTTCACATTTGCTTAAGAACATGTTTAGCGAGGTCAAATGGAATCTTTAGGAATGAGAAAATAACAATAATGTAAACAAATATAAAATATTTGCATTCTATTCCAAAAACTATAAAAATACAAATATTTGTAAATGACAAGTGGAGGAGACCTTTTGAAATAATATATATTAAAAAATTACAAGGAATAAGTCTGTATAGAATATTCATCACAAAAACAGGAAGACAACTAAACATATAAAAGAATGGTTAACCACTAAGAGTTATATTTTTACTCAAATATACGTAAGAGTAATACAGAAAATGGGAGACAATATACAAATGTACAAACGGATAGTGTAAAAATTACATAACTATTTACAAATACATTTGGATAATATAAAAAACAATTACCATCTTGATAAGATACATAGTAGTTTATGGAAATATACTTGAGGTGATTTCCTTATCAGCAGTGGTGCAAGTTCATGTGAGATTAGGTGGGAGTTTTTATAAGACTGGTGGCTTGCAAATCTCTATGGCAGAATGCCCAATCTCAAGATGAAAAAAACTATTCTGTGTATGGAGGTTAGTATTCATTTCAGAACTTCTAATACATGACTATACTGTTTGACAAGTTAGACACTAGTTTCTGAACATATGCTTGACCTGGCATTATTAATAACTGAGAGTTCACAGGTTACCAACGTGCTTAATACATGGATGTGAAATTATTTTAGCCACACATAAGCTATGTGACTGTGAACTCGTCACTGAGTAAGTTGGACAAGAATTATATATTGATGAGTTATTATGCTTTTACATGAAGTTTTTCAAAGAATCTTTCAAATCAGAAACTCAACTATCATTGTCATGGTTAGTAGCTACACAATCATCTAAAACTATATATATATTAACATTAATTAACAGATTAACATTAATTCATGAACATATACACATAGCAAATAAACAGTGATCTACAGAGGAAGACAGATAAAATTGTTTCTGATCCAAACAGAAATGATCAATGTTCACCAAAATTCTTTATTTAACAACTTAAAAGCTTATCAAGATACTAATCACCAACTAATACTTTAGCAAAAGTAATTCTTAAGAAAGTTAGATATTAGTTTGTAATCAAAATGAAAAAAATACATTTTAAAAGTGGAAATTTATATATTTCTTTACTGCTTAAAATTTCCTTGTACCAAATAATTACCACAATTTAAATATTATATTAGATAAAACCCCAAGTTTTGTAATATGACAAAACTACACTTAGAGGTCAAATTCTAGAAAAAAAAAATTAATTATTCTTTCTAAAGTGGATGTAGAAGTGAATACTTCTACTGTTGTTTTTAACAGCATAAGTAATGAGAAATAAAGTACATTCAACCTGGGTGTATGAAACACTAGTTTCTCCTTCAAAAGTTGATTAAGTCAAAAAAAGTAGTTCCTTTTTCAGTGTCTGATACCAGAAGTGTGAAAGTAGTCCTTCTTTAAGCAAATAATTAGTGTGGTATTGGTTGTGCAATCCTGCATACACAAAGAATATACTTTTAACACTAAAACTACAATGTGAATAATTCACAGTGCTTAATCTTACCAGCAATCACTTGAACATGTATATACACCTTTAGTATCTTTCAACAGACTGAATTTGGCTAAGATTATGTATACAATGAACTGTTCAAAAATAATTTAAATTTTGACAAGAATAAATCATAAGTAGTGACAAAATCTGTATAATTTATCCTCCAGAATTGAAAATTGTTTACCACCTAGCAATAATAAAAAATGTTCAAAGGGTTATCAATATTAAGTATCCATTTGTATTCAACCCTTATATGAGATGAACTCAACTGGACAACTGAGGTCCTCAACAGTGCTAGTCAATGGATGCAAAATTATAGCTCATCTTGTAGGACAACAGTCTTAACACTGTGTGCTACTTTACTGAAATGCATACTGTTTTATGAAACCACTTAACCTGAATAAATAATAAATATCTGTAAAGTTCAAAGTTGAAATCCTTCTTTAGATAATTCTTTCTTAAGGTTTGGCATGGAAAGAATTCAATTGTGCAATTAACAAACAGTCACAAGTCTAACATTACAAAAGTGTTTGGGATGTTAGAAAAAACCCCAGATTCAAAAAATTAATTTCAAACAAATATACATAACCACATAACACAAGTAATATTAAAAGGTGGGCCTTTCATCATCAGGGACAAAAGTATTTGTATTAAATCACAGCACTAACTCACACTACTTGTACCAATCCAAAGAACTTTTGAGATCAAACCCATCAAGTCTTTCTCAAATTTTTTAACAGACCATGCAAATAAATTTTTATTTTTACCAACTAGGAGTTAAAATACAACAACAGAAGAAACAATTTTCTCTTCCAAATTACTACCTCCCAGGGTCTCAGATCATTCCTACATTGAAACTTTTAGCTGTTTGTTTGCCTAAAACACTTTTCAGAGTTGAGGATTTATTGAAACATAGAGTAAATGTAAAAAATTGAAAACAAAATGCTGTGTAAGAAATTCTACAAAAACAATCATACAATAGTAATATCTTCAAGGTTCTTTAAAACAGCATCACTGAAACAATTTGTTGATCATATTTCAGTTTGTGTTTCTCAACTTTTATGACAACCAACATAAAGAAAATTAATAATCTCATTAAATATTTTATGTTTCTGTTCATATGAAATATCAGTGATTGTTTTTCAAGACTGAAGGTATGTTTCTATAAGTCATGACATTTTGAAAAATAACCAATGATTACCTAAATACATTTCAACAAAACACATTCAGTACTTATTCTGTACATACATGAAAATATATGGAAGATTGAGGTTATTACTCTTTTTTCACTAAATAATATCAAACAATACGATAACAAAAAACTTAAAACTCATTCATAACTCTGTTACCAGTTTTCCTCACTATCAGCTATTTTTGTTGCTCTGAAAAGCCCTATTAAGTGTATTTTTGCTCTGTTTTGGCTTCAACTGTATAACTTAAAAATAAAGTTTTTTCTTTGTTTCTAAGCAATAAGTATGGCTAAATGTAGATAAAGGTTTAACATTAGGATTGATGACAAAGCGGACGGACATACTATGATTCACGTATGTGCTTGCAGCCCAAAAAAGTGACTGCTGCCATGCAAGGTACTATTTTCATTGAAGTCTACTTTAAGATAACAGAAGTAAATAAGATAATTAATTAATTTATAAAAATCCACAAAATAGAAATTTTTATCTGAACAATGCTTATTTTCTAATTTTAGCATTTGATACACTTCTAACTGTTAAAAAAAGCAACTAAAAAAGACTAAATAAAAGAGCTTTTCCTTTAAAACAGATTTAGAAATCTGGTACTCAATTAGTATATCTGCTTACGAAACATAAATAATTATATTTATGATGGCATTGATTGTTAAGAGGAGTAATTCTTAAAACCTCATATTTTAGTTTCAGTAATTATTATAGTACCATAAATAAATAGAAATCACAGTAAAGTTACTTATGTAAAGTATATGCTGAAGCAGTGAGGATATTCATAAAATTCTCTGTCAATGTCACATCTAAATGTATAACTGGCTTTAAAACAACAGTCCAAAGTTTTGGAACACTAGTTTAACAGTATGAATAACAAATGTTCTCAAACATTACTTTTTGATACTTTTACATACAACAGTTTTATTATCACCTGAATGGCTGGTTTGCATTGTTTACATCAGCTGTTGGGCTTGATGCTTCCATGTCATCTATTACATCCTCTAAGAGGAGATATCGTTTTATACGTTCAGGAAGAAGCAAGTGGTTAATTTTGCACACCAAGTTCTCTCCTAGTCTTCGCCTGACTACAATGCGACTAAGGTCCGAAAGATTCATGGGGTTACTTTTCATGTAAATAAGCCATTTTTTTATGGTATTTATTGGGTAGCTATGTGGCATTGTGGGAGGAAGTATTTCTAGCCATGGAGTCTGCCAGAGATGGAAGCCCGCAAACACAAGAAGCCTAACAGTATGAAAGTGGTTTTTGCGTCGAGCAAGACAAAGGTTGTCAATATTACATGAATATACATTTCCCATGTTAACATCACTTCCACACCTAATAAGCTCTTCTGCAAAACGAAATTTGTCTAATAATATGGCACGATAAAGAGGGGTATCTCCTGGAGTGAAGCTTTCAACATTTAACTTAGAGCCACGTCGCATCAGCAGATGAAGAATAACACGAAAAGTATCAAATTCCTGAGATCTTATACCATCTACAGCTTCATGGATTAATGTTTGTCCTGAAAGCCCACTAGTCAACTTAACATCTCCACCTAAAAAAATATATATATATATATTATTGAAACTGGTAAGGTACTAAAAAAAAGAGAAACTGATTAAAAAACACATTTCCATCAACATTACTGCTAGGTTTGGATTTAGAGAACCAATTTCCCTGTCAGTTTAACAGGTTTTCACTTATTTACATAACTACTATCTGATATTACTTGTAAGATATATTTCATCATATAAAATCAGCAGTCAGAAATAATTTTATTCTAATATAGAATTATCTCTATCATTTAAACACATTATATGTAAAAAAATTTGTAATGCTTTTAATTATAATTTGTCAAGTAGACAAATATAGAAGTATTTTTTGCTCTGGGAAGTCAACATGTATTAATTACATACAAATGAGGGGCTTGGTGATTAGGGTGCTCAACTCACAATCTGAGAGTTGCTAATTCGAATCCCCATCACCAAACATGCTCACCCTGTATGGTTTCTGAGTGTGCCGGCCACCCAGATGTAAAACTTCTTGGCTTAAAAAAAATACCAGCTGACCCCAAATTAGGTCATAATGATTAAGGCCATAATGAGAAAAAATATATATATATTTATGTATACACATTATCACACATGATACATTAAAAATAAAGAGTTAGACAAAATAGAAATCACTTTAAAAATCAAAAGTCTACAAAGGCTCTTAAGATTCATTTTACTGATATTGGTATCTTCAGTTCTTTATATGCTTTAAAATAGTTTACACAATTATTTTTACATGGGTAGCTTTTATTTATAGGACAAACTTCTCTAAGTTTACTATAATGATTATGAAAAGGTTGGCTGACAATTAATGTTACTCACACAAATTTACCCAAAGGGTGCTTATATGTTTGACATTGGGCTGATTAGAAATGGTGCAAGAGCCTCTATACAGTGATCAAGCAACTGATTAGAAGTATGCCCTACAGGTACAGGAACTCGTACTCATTACTGGGTATATTTTTGTGCAAAATGTGGTTCTTTCACACAAGATAATTCATTCAGACCTGAACTCAGACTATTCTACATTTTAGGGTATGCACATTCCATGAGTTGTAACTAAAAATATACTATAGATGAAACTAATCTATTAACTATATTGAGGATATACACTCTAATATACCTGAAAAGACTCTATAGTCAGCTTTAAAATCTGGCTCACTGATCATCTTTGACATGACAAAAACTTAAATGTACATTAGGCACTGTAATAAGTAATAATCTTCCATTTTAATTAACTCTACAACTACATATAATTTCACGGATGGAAAAACAAAATATGATGATAAAGTCATCCCCAGCACTAACAGCCAATTTTCTTATTTTATGTGCAAGTTAAAATATATTCAAAAACTTTCTGATAGCTTAAACTGACACTGGATAATGTCTTCATTGATAAGTGTCTTTACAAAGTAGTTTTGTATGTCAGACATAACTCTAAGCTTACAATATGCTGGAGGACATCAAGAATTAAATGCATCTTACTCTGAAAACTACCTGCACTGGATAGTCATTCGTAGAATCATTTAAGTTTTTTATTACCTTAAAAATTACTCTAAGCTGGAAGTTCATCAAGAATACTTAGATCTAAAGGCTATGCAAAGTGAAAAATCTCCTTTATCATCCCTGGTATTGGCAAAATATCTTTCTATCTAAAACCTAAATATAAACTTACCATAAGCTAGAAGATCTTCAATAATTTCAACCTGACTAGCTCTAACAGCTAAGTGCAATGGAGTATCTCCACTGTCATCCCTGGAATTAACAAAGGATCCAGCTTGGAGCAACAAACGAGTAAGCCTTGGGCAACGATGCATAACACAGTAGTGTAAGAGATGGTGATGACCAATGACTTTGGCTCCACCCTTAAGTAAGATGTCCACTAATTCTACATCTTTGTACCACACTGCTTCAGCTAAGGGGGTGTATCCTGACCAAATATACATCATAAACTAATATAAGTTGATCACAAGTCTGTTTGTGTGTTATTAATGCTTTTGCTAACTGATAGTATTATTGAAAGTAATTATACATCCTTTAGAATACTATTAGGAAATTGTTTTTCAGACGATGTAAAACTATGAAAATTGTTGCATACATATGCAAGTTCAAATGAATAATTAAAATACAGGCAGTATATGCATTATATATAAAATTAATGAGTATAAAATAAACAATGCTAGGAAGTAACAATAAATACACAAGTTGATTTTAAATAATTCAATCCACAAATTTTAGTGAATGCTTGTTTATATTAATACGACTTAATTTTAAGATAAAGGTGAAAGTATAAAATCTGAAGGAACAAAACACTTGTGAACATTTAGATAAGTTTCATGGAAAACAGATGGCGAACATTTGAGTTTATTCATAATACTATTATCAATTTACTGAGTATCTAATGTAAATAAAGGATCACCAAAGATGGATAGCTAGGTAACTACATAATGAGCATTTAAAATGTTGACCATTTGCATGGTCAACAGTAATTATACTAAGCATGACAACATGTTCAGATAACTGTGCTCATCACTTTCTGGAATTTTAAGCTCTTAATGGATGTGAAGAAGTCTTGAATAGCTAAAAAGTGTTAAGTATTTACAACCATTCCAGCTTTTACTTGATATACTCTACAAAAATAAAATATTATTAAAACTAGTTAGATACTAATAAAAAGAAACTGATGTAAATACAAATTCCATCAACCTTATTGCTAATAGCTAAAAGTGTAAAATATTTATAACCATTCCACCTTTTACTTAATATACTCTATAAAAATCAAATGGAGAATAATAATAAAAAAGAAAACAAATTAATATATGCAAGCAGCCTATTGTCATAAATTCACTAATAAATCCAAATCTTTTTTTTTTCACACTTACACCAAAGCTGTCACATTTATCTAATACCAAATTTGATTAAAACCTCCTAAAATTTTGATAAACAAATATTGTCTGGATAAAAAAAAAAATTCTGTATCTTCTATTAAGCATTGTGATAAATTCCTTGCAAAATTAAAAAATATACACTCTATGTGTAAAACTGTTAACAATTGGATGACTGAGTTTGTTTTTAATCATTTTGTTTGTACAATCAAAACATTTTCTGAGGTTCAAGGGTTTTGTACATATAACTACACATACTTAAAAATGTTTTAGAATATCTAGTATGTGATTTGGTATACGTAAACGTACTTTTAGTTGCTTAAAAATGGTTTGGTACACAAAAACAGAAAATGTTCCACAAACAATGATGTTTTTATATATTTCAGAACTGGTTATATATTATTATTTGGTACATATTAATATACATAATTTAAAAAGTTTCAGAAGTTTCAACCATTAACTAATATTGGCTTTTTACATTTTACCATTTCTTATAAATTATTCTGAGAAAGAATAATAAAAAAAGTTTGTTTGCAGTAAAAAAAAATTTAAAACATTTTATAGCCCATGAAAGGTAATGAAGATGAATAATATAATCTATGTACTTTTGCTAAAGGTACTAATTTGTATTACATTTTAACTTGAGATGAATATCATAAACATAAATGATAGGTCTTCTGACTAGCAAATGTATTTTGTACTTAAGCTTTGCTAACAAAAAAAACTAATAAGTACACAATAAAACAGCATACTTTTTTATAACACTATCATAACAATAATCTATGCTTAAAAAACAGCAGTTCCTAGAAATTATTGTGAACTCCAGAATTCAGAAATACAAGAGTTTTTTTTTAGATTAGGAGGTAGCATGCTTACAGAAGCAAAAGCCTTTAGGAGTAAACACAAAACAAAACAATTATATTTTTTGCTACACTAAATTTTCTTCAATTTTGTTTTTCTACAAAAAGTTACCATAGTGATTCATAGTGAAATGTTCAATTTGTATTTTGGTGAGTTGGTTCTTCAAATATGTAGGGCTTTCATTATTATTATTTTTTTTTTACAGAGCTATTTACAATTATTTTCACGTGGACTTCTGAGCATTGTTAATGTGTTTGAGGTGGTAGGCACCTCTTCCTGTCACTGTCTATGATAGAAGTTTATGTGCATAAGAGTTAAGAGTTTTAAACTTGTGAATCCTCCAAAGAAAGAAAATTACAACTCCAGAAAAGTCTTTGAAACTCTTTTCCTTTCACTTATCACGTCTTAAGTTATAGAGTTTAGATACTATGGTCACATTAACCATAAATCTTTCACAGCTGACATCAAGTACTTTAATATTTTCTGAACCTTCAGCATATGGGCTTGGTCATTTTAACCAAACTTGCAAACACCATGTAACCATGAAACTATACAAACTATAACTTCTAAGGCAGTAAGCATATCTTCACAAAAGCTTTTGGCAAACATTACTAGTCTTTTGTACACAGAAATAATATTTTTAATTAAGTATTTTTACTAAAGGTTTGTCAATAAATTTATGGAATCAAGAGAACAAGACGAAAGAGATGTTGGAGAAATAAATATCATAAAGAACAAACAGGATTATATGCAATTTGATGAAAGAAAAATTAAGAAGAGATGGAAAGAGAATTATGAAAACTGATGAATGTAGAAAATGAAAGAGAAGTTTTGGAAGAAGTGGTAACCTTGGAAGGTCCAGTAACAGATGTTGAAAAGTTGAAGGTGAAGAGAGCCATTGATAAAATGAATCTTAAGAAAGTGAGTGGCCCATCAGGAGTGGTAGTAGAAATGATAAAGGTTTTGGAATGGAAAGGCACTGAATGGGTATGGCAGCTTTTATAGTAAATATGGGAGGAAAGAAAAATATGTTCAGATTGGGGGAAAAACATACTGGTTTCTATATACAAAAACAATTATCCATATACTTAACTGTGAAAATGATAGAATCATTAACTCTCTCAATTATACTATGAAATTAGATTTGTTTATCCTAAATAGCTTTCACTCATAACAGTATAGATCTATTTATACTAAAGTTTTATTGTTTTATTGCTCTTTGAAGATTGACTAATTACTATTCGTGCCATAAGTTGTAAATCACTTGGTGAATGTGCAGCTCACATTACACTATCGAATTACATTATATTACCTCGTGAAATGTTTTTTATTACATTATTATTATTTATTTCGCCTAATATAACCTTAACAAACATAAAAAGTTTCCTATTTTTATATTTTAGTTACTTTTATAATAATAAATAATACAAAAACAAGAAAAAATTCTTACCTTGGTCTTTTTTTTTTGCTTGCTGTTGACTGTCGATGACACTTAACCCTACTTTTTTTTATACCAATGGTAATACTGCACTAAACAAATTTTTATTTAATTAAATAATGCACCAAAGAACACAGAATAATAATGTGCAAAAAGTAGATAATGTCCCATAACTATCACAAATTTTCTGGCTTTCGAACTATGCAAAAAGAGCCATTAGGAATTCAGCTAAGCTGGTTGACAAGTTTCCTGTGGGAATAAAGGTTGAACTGGAAGTGAAACTGTCAATTCTCTGTACAGAAAACAATATAACATGTCACTTGATAGACTGAAACTTTGGCTTTCTATTGGTTATAAATACTATAGTATTGAACTATTGGCAATTTCTGAAAGAGAGGATGTGATAGGTGGGCATGGCAAGAGGGGTTTGGTTGTCTATTTCATGGCTCTGTAACCAAATGAGATTGAAACCTATAAAAATTATGCTTTGCTTCAGCTATGACAATAATATATTAAGTAATACATGTTAAATTTCATACTTCTTGGAGGGGTGGTAAATAAATTAGAGAAGAAGAAATGCCTAAAGAGTAAATGTCAGAAGTTAACATTTTCCTAAATTGAAAAGGTATTTCCAATAATACTTACCTCCTCTCACACTTATAGCTCTTACTCGACTGACAGGGTTTCTGCCTTTGCCCATCTAAGCATTGTTCTGATTTTTCTCGCTTGCTCCAGTCTTTTATACCCCACTCAACTGCCCTTTGCAATAATTATCTCGTGATACTCTCCACCTACGTCAATGTGCCCTCTATCCTGGTACTGTAGGTAAGCACCTCATTCAGGTAATGTTATCACCTTTAGAAGATTGATTCAATTCCAGTCTCTTACACTGGCTCTTAGTGGAGAGGAAGGGTGGGAAAGTGAGAGGAGGTAAGAATTATTGGAAATACATTTTAAATTTAGGAAAATGTTAACTTCCAAAACATACATACTTCTCCCACTTATAGCTAGAATCCCACACTGATAAGGTGGAGGGGCCAGTGAATGAAATTATCCATACAGAAAAGGATCTGCATAGTGGCCTAGTCTGAGTTTAAGGTGATTTTCATGTTAAGAGTAAAAGTGTTATATTTTTCTTCTTACAATTTTCAAATTTCATTTGCATAACTTCTAGAACCTCCTAAATTAATATCAAAAGTTTTTTTCGGTAAAACTTGATATATTATATGTTATTTTCTCTACCTTAACATATACGGACTTGGTTAATTTGACCAACCTTTTAACCACAAAAAATAATAAAAAAATCTAAACTATCCCTTTCTTCCTCCAAGAAGAAGGGTCACCAAACTTTTTTCACAGCGGGCCAGATAACTGAGAGAATGATGAGCACAGGCCGCATAACCATTTTGTTCAATACAATACAGTGAATACACAAAAAATAAAGACAACAAATATGTTTATTTACCAAAAAGTTATCAAAGAAGGCAACA